TATAATTTTCCTGTAAATGAAAACCAAAATTGATGATAAATTTTTTTTGAATGAAGAGTAATTATAAAAATAAGATTTTACCCAGGAAATCCCAGCCCGATGAAAATTATGGATAGAAACCAAGTATTAAGTAAAATTATAAATAGGGAAGTAAAAATATTATGTAAAATATATATTGGTTAGTAAAAAATCATTAAGAGCATTTTTTTGATATTTTATGTTGGTAATTTACTTGCCGGAAAAAACTGATCCAACAAGCGGCCGATTCCTTTGGCGAGTGTTTTCTTCCTGCATTTCCGAGGTTCAGGGGATTGAGCGCGCAGTTTCGGAAGGTACGTTTTCAATTGTTAAAAAGGAAACCCATCTAAGCAATTAAAAAGGGATTTTTTTCAATTTATTTTATAAAAAGGGGCCAAAAAAAGGGGGCCAGTTTTTTTAAAAAAAAAAATTCCCTTCCTCCTGTTATTAAAAAAATAAATTAAAAGGATAAATCTAAAATTAATACATGTGAGGTAAAATATTACCACTGTAAATATATACATCCTCTTTCGAAGGAAATAGTAGCAATTATGAATGAAGAGCCAACATATTAACGTAAAAACTAATCATTATCATTTGCAAAAGTTAATAATGAAATCAAGGGAAAAATAAATAAACAGAGATGGAATTGAGAAGAAACAGATCTAGAATAGAGTACACTTACACAAATAAAGGAAAAGCGAAGACTTGAGTCTGACGACTGCAACTTCATCTGAACGAGTCATTTCGGGACAGAACTCCGTGACTGCAACTGCAATCTTACTTCGAGACTTCACCACGTAAAATGTAAATGCTATGGCAAACAAACACGCCTAGCTATACCGCGTACGGTGCTTCTGCAAATTCGCATCTCACGCATCTTAATCTCAACCGTCCGGAAGTCGCGAGTGAGTCACTCAAATATCCGCACGCAGTCGCCGTGAAATTAAAGCCTATTCACGATGCAAACATAAACATAAGCATGGCGTTAACATAAAAGTTATGACTACGTCCATAAGCGGACTCATTCACAATTCACTCATTTACATCTTCTCGCCCATACGTCACATACAGTTTTTACTGCTTTTATACTGCGTTCGCATATAAGCATAACACGTAAGACGTTAACTTAAAAGCTTGCAGGCTTCAAGCTCCTGTGCTTATGCTTAAGTAAGACATAAGAAATAAACCAATCACAGAATGGTAACTCAAAATTGAGAATCTAAATTGGAGCGAAGTCGACAGAAGAACTAACGCCATGGTCACAGTCAAAACCTTGAAATCGATTCTCACATCCAAACAATAGTAAATCAGAATTTCTCACAGCCAATAGAAACTCTTATTTTGCTTACGTTTATGTGAGACATTATGAATACTTCAGTCTATCACAGCTTCAGCTTATGTTTACGTTTGCATTGCTAATGGGCGCTTATCGTGTCACGCGAATCAATCGCCGTTCATCCGGACGCGATGGCCGCGAGCAACCACGGCCTCCCCGCACATGCTGTCATCCGGAAGCGTCAATACCTGCCAGCCCTCAAAGGAGCCGACAGCTGCCCATCGACCGCGTGGGTCCAGTCAGCCGTTGCCTACCCGTCTGCCACCGACCCTGGGTGGAATACAATAGCCATCCGTTACCGACCCCCGAGTGGCGACAGCCACGCGTCAGACCGGTGCGACTTCAGTACAGCGACGCTAGCTGTTGATTCATGATGCTCCAATGTAGGTAGTATCTCATTGTAACAAAAAACTGAAGGAAGGTTAATTATTAAAGTGTTAATTTACAAGAAACTAAAAGACTGGTGAAAATAACCATGTCGTAATCTCAAGAACAAAGAAGTCCATTGAATGCATGACTAATCGTATTGTTATTTTGGTATCATTGATGTCAAGAGATTATAATAGTAGTTAGTTATTCATTCCTTTTAATAAATTGCGATCCTATCCGGAGCCACGTTATTTTAACAAACGTTTTTCATTGAGTAATATAAAAAAAGCACATCTTATCCTGATCAAAGTCCTGCCAGTCTACTCCAGATGAGGCCTACCCCTGAAGTCTCCTAGCCGTACCGGGAATCAGCCCATCTTCGGCAGATGCTGGAGATGGGCCA